CAAATTGCAAACTGGCTAAAAAGTATTTTGAAAAGGCAGAAAAAAACATCACTTACTCTCATTTCTTTAGCTGAATATATGAAAAGTAACAAAAGTGTTTGGAAACTGGCTAAGTGGAAGACAAAGGAAAAAGTGACAGGGCTGCATAAAATATTTACAGCAAATGAACAGCATCTTAAAGTTGTGTCCTTAAGAAACAGGAAAGATCCGATACAGGACCTGAGATATGCATCTGGCCTTCAGTTGATCCATCCACTGTTCACTGAAGCCTCTACGGAAATGGTCTCAGTGGAAGGACAGCTGTCAAGAAGCCATTCGTAAGAACAGAAAACAAGGAGCAAAGGATGAAAGATGCCAAGTTACACAAGAACTGGACCAAAAATCAGCAGCAACATGTTTTATGTTGATTGGCAACAGCTTTATTTTTCATTATGAGGGTGATTGCAAAGACACTGCCAATGCAGTAAAAGCATCCTCCACAGCAGTGTTCCACTGTAGATAGAAAAACACTGTGAAACGCTGTCCCGATGCATGCTCAATCATCCAGGTAAAGAAATCCCAAAAAGTTGATTCTGGTCAGAGAGATGGCAAACATTTGGTACTTAGGTACAAGAACAGATACTACTGTTAAAAAATACTCCAGTAATAGTCTACTTCTCTACTCAAATTTTTAAAAAAAAAGTACAGTGAAATATACTTAAAGTAAGAAAGTGAAAATAGCTCTTTGAAGGACGTTTCTATTTTTGTCCAGAGCTAACTGAACCTTGTGCTATATTACCTAATGATAAAATAAAATCAGCAGATGGGAATACAAACTTTAGTATAGTATTTTATTATTCTGATTATACTTAGCTTGAATCTAAAGAAAAATGAAAATGAAAAACAATCTCTTTATTTTCTGTTGCCTACATTGCATAGAGTGAGTTTGCCTCTAAACGGGAAAATGTGCACAGTCAGGGGCTAAAGTAGGATGGAGCAGGTGGGGAAATCCTAAAATGGGTTGCAATGGCTCAGCGTGGGGAAAAGAATGACAACGCAAAAATAATTTCTATTGAGAACTCAGTAGATTTTATTAATGTGCAGGCTGTGATCAGCTGACCTGCTGCTCTGTGTGGATGTACACAACTGAATTCAAGAAGATGTCAGCAGATGGCCATGAGTTGTCCTTTATGTCGATCCTCTACACCAGGGGTGTTGAACTCCAGGCCTCGAGGGCGTCAACACACCTGAATCAATGATCAGTTCATTACCAGCCTCTGGAGAACTTCAAGACATGTTGAGGAGGTAATTTAGCCATTTACATCAGCTGTGTTGGTTCAAGGACACATCTAAAACCTGCAGGACACCTGTGCTCTACACTGACAGTATTCGGTTTATGCTGTCTTTTTTGTTCTTAAAGAAACAGTGTGTTCTTTATTTTAGCAGACATTCATGTTCCCTCCATTCATCATCATGAATGGATGGAACGGTGACTTTGAAGGACAAAACAACCGAACTAGAATGAGAAAAGGAAAAAGTGGAAAAGCGAAGCTCGGAGATGCAGCATAGGATCAATGGAATGGCGAAAAACAACTCAGAGCTCATTAAGGGGATTATGTTGAACTTCAGCAACTTGAAGCACGAAAACACTGAAATGCAGGCGCAAAAGCAACAACAAGAGAAAATACATGAAGACCTGCAGCATACGCTTCAAGAAATCCAGAGAAGAAATGAGCAGTTGGAAGGCATGCTTCCCCACCTGCTGTAGCCTTGTGTTACGTCCCTCTGCAGCCCCTAATCATCTCAATGTGTTCAGCTGGTGCTAATTGGCCACACCTAGTCAGGTGTGGATAAAAGCATACCTGAGGCTCACTTGTCTTTGCCTTGGTGGCACTAGCTATTTTAGCCAACCTGGTATTCCATTTTAAGATAAAACCTCTTCTCACTAACAATCTGGGCCCGTATCCCTAAAGATTCTGAGAATCCTCTCAGAGAGCTCCTAACTTAACCTAAAAATTCCTTGCCAGGAGTTTTAGCTTAGAAGTGATTCCAGAACATTTTCAGTGAACTCTGAGCAAGGAATGGATGGAAAATCCTATGTTAGTGAGGAGGTGTGGTTGACCCCGTTGCTAGGTATGAGTCATCATTTCAAAAGCCGTGATTGGTTGATCCTACAAGTTTGATGGAAATGAGCTTTTGGTGATAATGAGCAAAGGATGTACCCTCAAATCAATAAACATATTATATACTCTAATCTTATGCTGACTGTAATTGTAAATAATATTTCACATTCAAGAAAATATCTGGAAAATGAATAGTAATCTGTAGGGGTTATAGCCATTAGAATCTAAAATATGTGAAAACTTAAACTCATTACACCCTGTTCAAATAATGATTTGTGTCTTATTTGCTCATATTAATATCTTAGCTGGCATATTTTGTACTTTCACTCCCATATGGACCCCGTTGAAAACAAGATGGCCTATCTCAAGAGGCTGTCCTTAATGAAGTAGAAATCACAACGTTACAAGTCCAGTGTGGTCTTAACGAGGGTAACACGGCTCAGCTTTTAGCAATGTCTGTGATTGCAGACCCAAGTCATCACTGCTGCATTGTTGCATTTTCCCGGTTGCCAAATACCTCGGGGTTGTGATTACTTTCGTCTCCGGTGTAATAGCGTTGTGGCGTCGAGTTGGTGAAGTAATTGCATCTCTAAGGAGATCCACCACAAACATGATTCCTGCACGATCCAATCTGTAGCATCTCAATAATTCCCTGTCATCCAGTGTTTGCAGGACATCTCTCCTGCCTCTTCTGTTGACCATTTTGTGCAGCTGCTTAGGGGAACTCCTAAGCCACTAAAAGTCCTCTTCCCTGCTCTTAGCAGATCTCGCCTTAGGAGCCCTTTTAAGCGTTAGGAATCTTGAGGAATAGCTTTTATATTAACTGGGATTGTCGTGTCACTTTTAGGGGAAATTCTAAGAAAACGTCATGACTCTGAGAATTTTCTTAGAATTTGGCTGCTAGGAGCCACTTTTTGCACAAAGATTCTTTAGGGATACGGGCCCTGGTGTTCGTCTCCTTTTTTATGTTGCGGCCTTTGAGCCAGGTCGTAACACCTTCTTCCTCCACCTCTGTTCCATCTTAATTTTCACCTCTCCTCTGCCCTCTTTCTCCCCTCTCTCCCTTCCTCACCCCCCTACCAGTCCCAGCGGTTGACTGCCGCCTCCTGAGCCTGGTTCTGCAGGTTTTTGCCCGTTTAAAGGCAGTTCTTCCTTCCCACTGGTGCTTGCTCAGAGGGGATTGCTGGGGTTTTCTCTGCCCTGTCTCTTTCCTCCTTTCTATCTATTCCTTCTTTTCCCCCTTCTACCTGTCCTTTAATCACTTCTTTACAACTCCCCCCCACCTTTGATTTCCTCCATCATCTCCTGACCTTGTGTTCACTTTTGAGAACACATGGTAGAGAGATGGGGGTGGAACAATAAACACAATTGGCTACATTTGACGTGTCAGATCAATGTCTTCATTCAAGAATAATTCATCTTAATGATAAAAAAAGAAACGGGTAATAGTGTGTTTTTGTGTATAATATGCATGCTATACTTGTTGTATCCAAATCCCTGAAGGAAAAAGAATAAGACAAATAAAAAAATAAAACGAAAATATATTTCTTTTTTTTTCCCCAGGTCAGTTTTGGTTTTAATTCCTGAATTGTATCGACTACCAGTTAGCCCGTATTAGTTCCTTTCAGGTTAATCTAAGTTCCTTTTACTTCTAACTCTCTGATCGATGTAAGCCCACTCAGTTCCAAAGTAATGAGACTTTTGCACAGCACTGCATGTATGACATCAAGATATAATTGAAGCCCATTGACCCTGGGAGTTGTCTGGCTTTTTAATGGATAGTTTTAACACCATGTGCAAGTTACATCGGTTGCAGACATTCATGTTCCCTCCATGATTCATCGTCTCCACCTTTTAGTTTATACATTTCTTCTGTATACAGCCGAAACCCTGCAAAACAATCCTCATCGGCATCATGTAAACTTTGATTCTAAACAGCGATTGGCGACACGATATTTACACTGTGAAGTACATTTTCAGAGAACAGCTAGCATGGTCACAGAACTACCTTTTGCGCTCTGTGTAAGTCTGATTTTTAAATGAACCAAAATAACAATATTGATTAAATCACACTGGATTTAATTTGGAACAATGCCGATAAAAGTCATATACATTAACAACAACACAAGGAAATTTAAGGAAGAAAAATAGAAAGTGTGAAAAAAGTGTCCACAGACTCACTAGACATCAACGTGCACTCTTCTACTGCAAGATGTTTGTGGCTTTTCATGATGTCCATTTCAAATCTCTCAGACTTTGACTGAGTCATTCCACCGAGGATTTGCTAACGTGCGTAGGTTCAGGTATGGCTCTTCAACTGGCCTTTTTCTTTTTTTGCGCTCTCTACTGTGATATGGGATTCATAGATGAGGCTACCTAGTCCTTGAGAAGAGGTACAACAAAACCACAGTGTAACATTTCAACCACCAAGTTTCACAGCTGGTATCAGGTTCTTTTCCTGAAAAGCTGGTTTGCTCGGATCATCATTTTCATAGGAAAAGCCTTTGGCCAAGCATGGTCAGATTTGTGTAGCCTCTGTTTCTTGCACTTTGATAGCAGCAGGGGGTTGAGTTACCCGGAGATCCTGTTATGAAATTTGGTGCCTTATAGATTTTTCTTTTCACAAAGTACACATGCAAATCTTTTACATAAATTGTGGATTTTTTTTTTTCAAGTACTAGTATGAATTCTAGGATATTTTGACAGTTTTTAAAATCCATTACCAGCCTCATAGGCATTCACAAACTTTACTCTGAAGCCCTTGTAGAGCTCTTTAGATCCTGGTTGAATGACACCAGACCCTGGATATCAGAGAGTTAAAAAACAAGACTTCCTGTAAGCAAGAGCGAATCACTGACACGTGTATTTATGTGAGTAAACACTTCTCCAACAGCTTTAAACAGCTACTTGCTTGTTTAAATCTATCGGAAAAAGTCAATTTGAATGTAATTATTACTGTTAGTTTTTAGAAACATCTCCCGGTAGTTTTATTTCTAGAGTCTTTCCCTTCTTTCTCTTCCTACCTTCCCAGGTTTGTTCTGTGTTTTGTGGCTGTCTTTGAAGTTCTTGATGATACTTCTCTCTCCAGTTCTTGACACTTTGGAAATGCTTGGGTAACTTTGTATATCCATCTCCTGCTCTGTGAGCAACAGCGATTCTTTTTCTCAAGTCTAAAGCGATTTCTTTCGTATTTGGCACTTGATTTCTCAAGCGACGGCTCAAGCACTTGCTGAAGTTATTATACTGTGTGTAAATTAGAAGATAACCCTCAGTTTTAATTTGATTTTACAAACTTTGAGCATCACAGCGTTATAACACATTGCACAGCAGCGGTTTGTGCAATGGCTCGGTATAAAGGTCAGTTTTTTTATTGATCCTGGTCATTTTTGTTTCTAAACAAAAATCTCCAGGCTGCTTTCTAAAGAAAACTAATATGCTTAGAAATGCTCCAATGAAAATCCCTTGCCCTGTTGAAACACACTTTGACCCCCTGGAAAGTTTTGTGACAAATCTCACAGCGGGTTAATCGGTTTGTCCTTATTTATAGTTAATCAGGGTAAGTCAGAGTTTTCAAAAGTGTGACACATCTTTTGTTTTATGTACTTTTTCTTTAGGCCTTAGTTTGTACTTTTCCACAGTGTTGTGACCACATATGTATCAATTTACCCTTTAGACATCCACTTACAAAAAAACCACACTGTGTAGCCAGCAGCTACATTCCTGTTTCATTTGTCAGTGAGACTGATCGTGATTGCACCAGTGAAGGCTACAGTTTCATTGAGAATGATTGGCTCTCCCTTAGCCCTCTGCTGTGCATAAGTCAGTCCTGATTCCCATAATGAGCCAGCGAAAGAGATGATAGGCGGGTGGGAGGACACTATTAATCCTCAGTAAGCATGTTGCGTGTCAACCGGCCCTGCTTGGAGATTTACAGGCCTGTAATGGGGGTCACTCTTCCATCTTCTCCGGGTGGTGCAGGCCTCGACTTCTTTTGCTCTGCCCTGGTCTGGTTAACTATTTGTGGGGAGGCGGAGGACCCCGAGAGCCTTAAATCTAATCTGTTGTCCAATATTAACCACAGCACAAACAGAACAGTGGTAAACAAAAGGAAGAGTAAACACACTCCCCAAGGCCTTTAGGACAAATATGGACAGTTACGTTCACAGCGCACAGTTAGGTACAACTTAAATAAAAGAAGCAAGGTTTGTTTATTCTGAAGGGAAACTTTAAGGAAGATTTCTTTTATTTGAAACGTGAGATTAATGGAAAATGTTTCTTTCGCCCAGTCCAGCTGTTGCACTCTTGTTACACAAACCTCAACATGCAAGGAATAAAGCCATCATCTTTCCCCAGCGTTTTCTGATCTATGACGTCCCAGTCAGGTCCAGCTGTTTGGACACACAGTCCCATCCCTGTCCCTCCTCGGTGTCCCCCCACTTTCCCTTTTGTCTATCCCCCTGGGATGTGTAATCCCTCCTCCAGCACATCATCCACCACCGACCAAGAGGATCAGCTGCACTGCTGCTCTCTGCTTTTTAAAAATAGGCTGGGATATCAGCTAAGAGACCTGGACGCATCCTGGGGATTGAGGAATGTCTCCACACTTCCCAGAGCCTTGATATCTGCGAGAATTCTCTGAGTAATTGTCTCTGTGTGTTTCTGGGTGTATGTGTGTGTGTGTGTGAAGATAGATCCTGTATTACTAGTTAAAGAGAGAGGATTTTCTGTCCAGATGAGAGAGTGGACCGAGCTGGAGATGAGCTTCACGGCAGGGGGGTTTCTCAGCACCTCAGATGGTTACTGCTCCGCTGAGCAGCTCCAGTACTACGGTGAGTCCACAGTCATGCTCGTGCTCCTGCTTCTTTCTCTTTGGTGTCTTCATCTACTTTTACTTCTGTTTTCTCTCCAGCTTCTCTTAAAAGAACCACGAAATTGAAATATTAAACACTGCCTGATGGGATTTTTGATTCTTATTCTAAGCTAAATCTCATTCGTGGGGCATTAATATATCTAAATTGACACTGGAAAAAGGAAAAACTGACTTTAAGCATTTAATACCTTATGCAACTTGAATGTGTGCAGACATTTGCTTTACAAAAAACTCTCTAAATGATCAGTCAGTGCTACTGTAAAGAGCTCAATGGGAGACATCGTTTTTCAGAGCCAGTCTCCATATCAACCTGTAATCCACAGAATAAATGGGATTATTTCTTCAGGAGAAAGCAGTTACTATGGACACTGTTCACAGGATTTTCTTCTCACCTGAGCAGATGAAATCCAAACAAAGTACAAAATTTAGTGCGACAAGTATTAAGAAAGAAAATGTGGTTTCTGCTGTCACTTCTGCTCTAACCAAATCCCCCTTTGTATAAATTTCCATTTGTACTTTGAGAGGTTCTGAACTTCCTTGAAGGTTTTGGACACTTTAGCATTTTTCAATCTGCTGATCTAAACCTCGCTGGCTTGAAATGAACATTTAAATCAAAGAGAGAGCAGAATTTCACAATTTCTAGGCAGCAAAATGAGCATCCATGCTGCATAAGACACTCGAGACTTGATGACTCTTCTGCTGCTTTATTATGTCTACAGATTTGACACTGTGTACTGGTCACACAGATTGACATTAAGTAAGTGGGTCATAAATAGCTTATATTGTTACACGCTGATATACGACTGCCTTCTGTGTGCAGTGCAGCCTCATTCACTCTGACAGCTGATGAATGAACGCTAAGCCTTTATTTACGGCGTTTGAGAACTCAGTGACATGGAAAAAACAGTTCTTGAGGGGGATCAGCCGGCTCACCGCGTTCGCGACATGCAGAGAGGCTGAGCGTGCATCGGAGGATCTATTTATACTGACATGTATCATCAACAAAGTCTCCCTGTTGTCTCCCCTCCTGCCCTTTGGAGAAGAAGAAGGAGGAGAAAGGGAGGAGGAGGGGGAGCTGCGGGAGGTGCTTTGCTGGTGTTGTTTGGCTCCCTAGCGTGCGTGGGATGGAAGGGAGGCTGAGGAGTGTTTAGACAGCGTTCAAATGGTTTACAAACACTGCAAACAGCAGCTCAGTCACACAGTGAGAAAGCAAGGACCACCCCCCCACCAACTCCCCAGTTCCCCCTCCACCCCCCACCAAGCCAACCCATCGCCTAGTCGGGTAAAGACAGGAAACATCTGCAGGGAGAATGAAAGCGAGGAGGGGAAATTAAGCACAGAGAAGAGTTCATTAGTAGGCTTTCAGCTGATCAGAGCAGGGACATTAGTCCACTAAATGTGAGCTGCAGCAGCTCTCAACATGTTCTGTCATTTATCATCAAACACGCTTGTAATTTAGGCTCAGAACTCCTCGGGATGCTTTTGAGGAAGCCTCAGTCACAACTGATGATTGATGACACGCATGGGTCTCTGAGGAGAAACTGACCACACGCAGGGTGGCGTTTTTATGTTGCTTATTTTTGAGGTTACTAAAAGAGAGAGTTGGGAATAGGAATGGATTTCACATAACCATGATATAACTATTCAGATTTGTCTATTTGCCAAAGATATAAGTTGAATTACTTCCTGAAACAAAGGTAGCTCTAACAATTTTATGTGTGATGATCAATTTACTCAAAATGGGAAGTCAACTCTGAAAATGTGACTCAAGTGGAGTCGCCAGCATGGTTGGGACTGCTCGGTTGTTATCTGACACGCACAGAAAAGGCTCTCATTCATGCGGCTCTACAGTCACTCTCTGTTTCCTTTCATCCTGTCTTTGTTCTAAACTAACTTAATCTGTTGCTCACTCCATGCATTGTGAAAGGGTTTAACACTTGTCAAACCACACTGAGTGTTAAAAGGCAGGATATGGCGACCTTTGCTGCTTTGATTTATTTATTTATTTTTTGAATATTGTCTCCTGGAAATTCCTCTTTATGTGCATGTGCTACAGCACCACTGCAGGATGCCCGATTTTCTGTCAGAGCTCGAAGACGTACCTCACTCTCTGCACAGTACTGTGCAAGTCTCAAGCCATTCTTCATTTGTTTATATTTTGGTCAGAAAAGGGGAAGAAAACATTTGCAGACACATTTAAATACAGTATGTAATGCAGTATATAAGGCAAAAATAGAGTTTGTACAATTTTGCGTACCTCTAAAGTTAATATTTAGTATGATCATCTTTTGTTCTTTGATGCAGCCTGAACTCTCTTAGGCAGCTTTCTTTAAGTAGACGTCAGTAATAGTTCTCCAAGCTTCTTTGGGGACGTTCAAAGTGCTTTGTTGGATGTTAGCTGCCTTTTGTTCTGTTCTCTGTTAAGGTGATTCCCACACTGCTTCAATAATAGAGATGTCCGGACTTTGGGGACACCGTGACTTATAATGTCCCATTTTATGTTTAAAAAAAAAATCCCCAATATGCATTTACTTGATTTGGACGAAAGTCTGACGATCATTTTTGCTTTCATAATTCCATTCATTTTGAGAAGATATCCAACACAACTGGCTGAAATGCCACCCCAAACCATGACCCAGCCTCCACCATGTTTCACAGATGGCTGTACATACTCACTGTTGTACCTCCCTTCTGACCTCTGAGGTATACTCTTTTTTTTTTCTGCTCCACTTGGCCAGTTCCATATTTTTAAGGGCACCCTGCATGCATCATGCCATAATATGCTACTTTTTCAGCTAACAGCTCTTTGGGAATCACCTTGTTGGACAGTTATTGTAGATTTTGTAGATTTTTGTGAAAGGCTGCTCTTAAAAATCGGTTATTTGCTAAATTGTCTGTTATGTGTAGAAACAAGTCTGGTTCATTCCTTGAGGAAGGTGCTTTTTTATGCTTGAATGGTTTATAAGTCAGTGTATTTGGCTTTGCAATTGAAGAAAAAACAATGCAGTTACTGGACTGAAAATGAGTGAAAAAGCAGCCAATATCCAAAGCACTTTGAAAGACTTAGAAAGCCTTTAGAGCTATTGGCTAAGGCCACTTTAATACAATTACAAGCAAAATGTAGAGAAATGAGGTGTGGCTCAAGACTTCTGCACAGTACTGTATATAGTGATACACATTTTACTACTATATACTGTATACACATTTCTGTGAAGGTTCTCAGTCATCTAGGTCATCGTAGTCTAAGGAGCTTGGAAAGAAAAGCGTCTGGACTTCTTTAAGTTGCTTGAAGACGTTTCACCTCTCATCCGAGAAGCTTCTTCAGACGCCTTAACGCCCACTCACATCCTGGGCCTTCTGACCTCAGGAAATCACATGATAGGGTGGGGCTAGGTTTCACAATGAGTTCACCCAAAACTTTGGCTGAATGTGACCTACACCTGTTTTCACACCTTGGCTCACGTGATTAGGTAGAGGATCATTAGGGGGGTCCATTGTCCCTCTTAGGGGGACACTCCCACAGGGCTCTTCACTATTTGATCTTAGAACTGAAGAAGCTTCTCAGATGAGAGGTAAAATGGTCTTCAAGCAACTTAAAGAAGTCCAGACGCTTTTCTTTCCAAGCTCCTTAGACTACGATGACCTGGATGACTGAGAACCTTCACAGACATATGTTCATATAGTAGTAAAATTACTATATATACATATACTCATTTTACTATCATGTGTACATATACACGGTTTACACACATTAAAATCAATGAACTAGTCCTTCCTAATCTTCATCCAACATGTTTTAGCCCGAAAGTTCCCATTTCCTGAAACTCCTGAAGGTTGGGTGGGCTCTCTGTTTAATCAGTGCATAACAGATCCCACAGCAGTCCCAGTCGAACAGTCCAGCTGTACTTTAAGAGGCTGCCAGTGGTCACACATGTTTTCTCAGTGGAGTCAGTGCTTGCAAAACACAAGCAGCTGACCCACACTCTGACATGTTTTAGGTCATCCCAACAACGAACTGAATGAATGATGGACTAAATGAAGAATCCAGAAAAAGGGGATAAAAAAATAAAAGAAAAATAATAATAAAAAGAAAAATCCTAAATGGCACTGGGAGTTCTCAGCTGCATCCTGTTTCAGCAGTCTGAACAAGTTCACAGGGTCTCACTCTCAGCTTTTTATTGTATCCCATAAGAGCCATTAAAGCAGTCACGACTCACGTAAATTCACATTCCTCTGAACGCTTTTTGACTTCGACCAGCGTCACAGAGTTTCCTTAAACGTTCATTCATGTTTCAGTCACGCTAGTGTAATCACTTATTCCCTGTAGGTTAGATGCTGTATGTGTGTGAAAGATTTACAATACTGACAAGATTTTCAATTTGGAAAGAATATTTGCTACACCTAAAGTCATAAATCTTACACCATGGCACTTGAGCGCTATTTAAGTGGATCACAGCCTGATGTAATCATAACAATATCCTACATACAGTCAGGAGGCTGTAGTGACATAAGGAGATGCTAGGGATGGTCCAATGTGGTGATGCAGGAAGGAAAGAAGAAGAAGAAGGAAAAAAAATGATGGAGTGTTATGAATTGTGAGGACAGGTTGCAGCACAGGTGTGTGATACTATAAGATTACCTTAAGCATGATCCTGTATTTCACTTAAAACCAGCTGTTTGTCTCTCATCATTTCATCATCGTGACTCCAGATAAAAGTTCATTTGCTCCTGGTTAAAGATAGCGATCTTTAAAATGGGTGATCTATGTTAGCTCAGTTTGTATAACGCCAATTCCAAAAAAGTTAGAAATCAATAAAAATGGAATGCAATCCTTTGAAAATCTCATAAACTGTTATTCTATTTACAGTAGAACACAGAAAACATATTCAAAGTTTAAACTGAGAAAAATAACCATTTTAGGGAAAATATGATCTCATTTTGAAAATGATGGCAGCAACATGTGTCAGTGGGATTGGGTCAACAAAAGTATGTGGTAGGGCTGTGCCATATGACCAAAATTTCATATCCCGATATAAGAATTGTATCGTCCCGATAACGATATAAATCACAAAAATGTAACATTTTCTGTAAATTCTGTGAATCTTGGGCAGCTCGTCTTGAGTCGAGTGTTTTAACCGATGCATGAAACGATACATTTTTAGACATAAGTTGTAACAGCCGCCGTTTTCTTTGTGAGTATTTATTACACGGCGTGTAATAAATACAGGAAAAGCCTGTTCTAACGTTTGAGTCTAAGGTTTATTTTTTAGCACCTGGTGGCTCTTTTTTAATTCTCATCCGTAAATAATCTGCTCTTTCACGTGATTCAGTTTATTTTGAAAAGTCACAACAGGATCTTGAGCTTTAATGTGAAAAGTTTATGTGGAACATAAACAAGCGGACACGCGATGGTGTTACCGTGGTTGTTGCTAACCAAAACGCATAAAACCAAATGCATAAAAACCGGCGTGGTTATATTAAATATAAGAGAAAGAGAGAACTTTAATAAATTAATGTAGGCACTACAGTGACCATCAATACGATGAAAAAATATTGCCGTAAAGAGTTTAATTTGCGACACCACGAAACAAAAGATAGCGTAAAATGAAACGATAGACGTTTTTATATCGTCATCCGATATATATCGTTATATCGAACAGCCCTAGTATGTGGTACTAAAATGAAACGGCTGGAGGCTAATTTGGTTAACTGGCAACAAGTCAGTAACATGACTGCGTATAAAACGTGAATCTCAGAGTGGGAGAGTTGTACAAAAAACTGCATCTATAAATCTATATGTACCAGCAACATAAAACTGGTAAAAACTCTGAATATCTAATCATCTTCAGTACATGTTATCATCAAAGGATTCACAGAATTTGGAGAAATCTCTGAGCACAAGGGACAGTCAGCGTTGGGTGGATATGGTCTTCGGCCATAACAGGCGCAATGCCTGTGAAGAAAACTTACTGTGCCATCCACAAATGGAGGTTAAAGCTCTGTGATGCGAAGCAGAAGCAACATGTGAACGGGATTCAGAGAGTCTGCCGTCTTCTTTGGGTTGAAGCTCGTTTAAAGTGAACTGAGGCAAAGAGCAAAACTCCTCTTCTGGAAATTTGCATAATGGAAAAAAAAACACAACAACATAGGCGTAAATGAGGCTCTGTCCCAACTTGTTTTAAGACGTGTTGGTGCCATTCAAAAAGATTTTATTCTTTTCTTTACTTTTGATGTTTTCTGTGTTCTGCTGTGAATACAACAGTAGTGTATGAGTTTTGCAGATCAATGCATTCTGTTTTTATCTCCATTTTACACAGTGTCCAACTTTTATTGGATTTGGGATTCTTACAAAAGGTTCAGTGATTTGTCACAGCTGCTGAGCACTGCAGCTTTTAGCAAATGCTACTCCAACTGGAATAAATGGTTCATCTCCTGGTGGATAATTCTTTAACTGTGGATTAATAGAGGTTTTACTCCAGTTACCATTTCCATTAAATGTCATGTTTTATACTTGAATCGTTTCTCACAGTTTAGCACAACCAAGGGAATGAAAATCTGAATACAAATTTTGTATGTATGGAGACAGGGTGGGTTTAAACTGCAAGGCCACATCAAAAAGTCAGCTGTCCGAGTAATGTATTTCAAGGAAACCTCATTGTGTTCATTTCAAGCTCCATATTTCCATTATTGGACTCTATTAGAGAAGCTTTGAATCACACTTGCCTTATACTTACTTATACTGTCTGAAACAAGCCACCCTTCCTCCAGTCAGCTTTCTTCTAACTGGCCAACCTTGACAAACAGAAAGCAGAGCTGCTCTGTTCACACGTGGACCTATGACTTATGTGATCCTACATCAGTGTCATCTCTCATCAACATACAGAGCCAGTTAAAACTTTTGACCCTGGACTTTGATTTCAGATATGCTGGCTGACCCCCTGGGCTATCCCCTGCAGGACCCTGACCTCCAGCTCCTCCCATACAGCCAACAACAGTATAGTCCTGCCAACCTGCCCTTCTCCCACTATGGTTCTCCACCCTCCTCTGCCCCCTCTCCCTCCTCCTCCTCCTCTTCCTCTCAGCTCTGCAACCCACCATACCATTACAGCCCTCACTGCCTGGAGGCCCCTTGCGATCCGAGCCCCGAGCCCCACTGTGGGGGCCTCTTTGCTCAGGGCCTCGGATCTGTAGGACTGCCAATGGGGCGGAGGTCCCGGATGGGCTCGGGTGGAAAGAGCAGAGGTCAGGATGAGCTGTGTGTGGTGTGTGGTGATAAAGCATCAGGATACCACTACAATGCTCTTACCTGCGAGGGATGCAAAGGTATTTATTTGATTGCTTTCTGATCTTCATATTTTTCTACTTCTTAGCATCAGCGCGTCATGTTTTACCTTTCGCTACAGGATTCTTCAGACGCAGTGTCACCAAGAAAGCTGTGTATCACTGTAAGAGTGGCGGTAGCTGTGAGATGGATATGTACATGAGGAGGAAGTGTCAAGACTGCCGTCTGAGGAAGTGCCGAGCTGTGGGAATGCTGGCTGAATGTAAGGCTCAAATACAAGAAACTGATTGACTGAGGTTGTAATGTAATCAGAGAAATGATTAGTGAGATTCCAAAAAACAAATATGTCACTTTGTGGTTGTGCAGAAAATAATACTTTTTACCCTCTCTTCAGGTCTGTTGACTGAGGTGCAGTGCCAATCCAAACGCCTGAGGAAAGGAGGTAAAAGCAGAGGGCAAGAGGAAGAGGAGAACACAGACACCAGGAGAGTCAGCTCTACCAGCAGGCTACCCGGACAGGTGCGGCACACCTGTGCTCGATTGGATACTTTCCTAACTTCAGAGTTCGAGGTTCAAGATTATTGTGCCACATGGGCTAAACAAATTCAGCATAGCAGCAAGAGTTCACATAAAACACAATATACAGGAACAACTTTAACAGCACCAATATGGGTGAATTATACAAATGATTACATGGTATGCTAATTCATAAGGAAATGAAAGTGCCAGAGTAGTGCACAGTGATAATAAAGTTTATTTAAAGCCTGGAAGGAAAGCTGGCAAAATCTTAATAGACTTATCAGCATAACTGTCTCCTGATTAAGGCACTAGCTCAGACTCCAACTACAGCATTTTGTTAAACCCATGAATTGCAGAGTAGGTGCTCTTATGCTCGTTGGAAAATGTCTTATTCTTTCTCCTGCTACCCCAGTGCTGTTTAAGTGCCCAAGAACAAAACAGACCAAATTAAAAACATAATTTAGATCTGTAAGGAGACTTGTTCTAGGAATATATTGCTCGATTAAGGCTTATAGAAGCATCAAATTGCCTTGAAATTGCATGCTGCCAGTGGTAAACAAAACAAAACAAAGAACAACCTAAAATTGCTCCTAAGAATCTATAATTCTTACTTTTGCTCACCAGGCACAGTCTCTAAATCTATAGTATGTCTTGCTATCTGCATCCTGAGATCTGAGGGATCACCCAGGAAGGGTGACACTATTCTCCCCAGCTATTCTAACCTCCTGCATGTAGTACAAGACCTGAAAACCCAGAATTAAACCATAAGTTAATTTTGCTAAGGCTCAGATTGTGTAGTGGTGCAATCCTTCGGTGTCCTTCTATGCTAACTCAACTTTCTATGCCATTAGCTCTCCTGAGGACCTGCTAGCCTTTTTTTTTTCTGCCTGTCCCGTTTGTCCTTTAGCCATCAGAATTATTGTCTGAAGGCCAAGAAAAATACCCAATGGATTTACTTTACCAAGTGGATCATCACGGCCTTGCCGTATTGGTCCATTTGATCGACTTTTGTTATTATTATTATTTATTTTATTTCATTTTATTTTCAGTTGTTACACATGGGACAGACATGGGGGATAGGAAAAGGAGAAAGAAAGAAAGAGAGGGAAGGAAAGAAAAACAGAGGGGAAGAGGGAGTGTGAGAAAGGGCACTTAAAAAGAAAAAATCTCCTGGATCACCTGTTGAGAGAAGAAAAAAGAAAAAAAAAGGCCCATAGAAAATAGGTCTTCCCTGGATCCGGCATCAAGCTGGCACTTCTGATTGACCGGTGTCATGGCAGGGTGTATGTCAACCAGATGTGGGCCAGGTCTGGCAATGATGGCACTATTTATGTTTCTATTTTCCTATTTTAGTTAGAAGACCCAAATGCCATGTTGCAATACTATACTGCTATGGTAGCTAATGTTTCAAATGCATGTTTGACAGGTTTGTGAGTGTACACTTTATCCAAAACCTAGTGACGGTTTACTCATCTTTGCCAGTGGGTGGCTGTAGCTCAGGAGGTAGAGCAGGCCACCTGCTGATCGGAAGGTTAGTGGTCCCTCTATCCCTGGCTCCTCCAGTCTGCATGTCAAGAGTGTGAATGTGAATGTGTATGAATGTAGTTAGGATGCACTCAGTTTAGAGAAAGTGTGTGATTGGGTGAAGCAGCCACGGAGCAGAAGCCAGAGGGGCCTGCAGTGATGTGCCCGCTGGCTCTGCCGGCACCCAGCTGCGCCAGAGTTAACCGAGCCACAGGCCCAGATGCCAGAGGCCTGAGGGCCCCCAACCCCCTGGAAGGGGCTCCCAGGGCACCAGACCCCGCCAAGGAGCCAATGGGAGTGAACCGGTTGCTATTTACAAAAAGGCCATCCAGCCTTTTTGTAAATAACAAAAAGGTTGCTCTGATTCCTGTTGAACATCTTACTGGCTGTTCTGACAAGACTTCCAAGTCCACCTGATGTTTTTAAAGCTTCTGAAACAAGCAGCAATGCAAAATGGTCATGTGAAACTAAAAAAAGAGGCACTGTCTCAGTGAAATAAACCTGCTCAGATTTCACTATGCTTAGTGGAAAAAGATGATTTGCTGGACCTTTTCAGTAAAGCATTAACATGGTGCTCATTAACAAAGCATAATTTTGGGGGGACTAGCGCTGGATTTTTTGGTATTGGTAACACTTTATAATACAGCCAGCGACTAAGGGTGCAGTTCCCTGAGAGTTAAAATGTTCTTCTTTCTTGTGAAAACTTGAATTGTTACCTCCTCATTCTGATGTATCTACTGGGAAGCATTTGTAGATACACATTGTTACATTGTAATTTCAGGTAAAACACATTGAAACTCTCCTGAATTCTTTGGTAATTACACCCTTAGTCACAGGCCACATTATAAAGTGCTGCCTTTATATTTAGGTGACTTAAAACATGATCCTCAAATTCAACCACCACCAGCCCAGCAGCTGCCGAAGGCCTTCTAATGAACGAATCATAGCCAACTGTTGCCATGGCAACTGCTGGTGTTCAAGCATCAGCCTGATGGTCAGTCGCACCACTTTGGTTCATACTGAAATAGTATATATAGGATATAATAAATATAATCGCATTTACTTGTATTTATTCGGTTATTTAGTCAATGATTTCTGGTTGCATTGCTATTTCAATATTTTTTTCAAACCCAGAAAGGCTGAAATATCACAGACTCTTCCTCTGCTGCCACCAGGAGGTTCAAACAGGCATTAGACGGACTGAAATAAAACGTGTTCCAGCTATTCACACAGCTCTCAGTATCAGCTTTAAAAGTCTTAGGCTCCCCTCATTATTAATCTAAACCGTGTCTAGTCTCTCACTCTGTAATCATGAGTGCTTCTTTGCAAATCTGTGTGCTGTGCTCATTTCCATCTGCACCAGGCTTTGTCTGCCAGTTTAACCCGAGAACAGAAATACATCGTGGACAGGATGGTGGAGGCCCATAGGCTCTACAGAGGTCAGGACAGTAACAATTTTAGGGTAGGTTCCAGTCCAGAAACATACAGTGCAAAAATAGTTTTCTTGTTCTCATCTTGCTTTTGTTGTGTGTGCCTTCAGGCATTTGAGTGGCTGTGTCCAGAAGAAGTGGAAGGCCTGTCTGATGTAGTATCACCCCGCCTACAAAGGCTGCTGCAGTTTGCCAGGACAGTGCCAGGTGAGATGAAAGAGGGAAGGTTTCAGCTTTATAATGTATTTGCTTGAAAAAGAAGCAGGATAAGAGGATCAGAGGGGAGATGTTCTCCCATTCAAATGAGACAAAAAAAATACAAGCTTCAAGAAAGTTTCCAGAATCTTATTACCTACAGTCTCTTCTCAGTCCTCAAAATTGAATCAGTATGTTTCTGCTGGCACAAGAGATACTGGTTGAAGAAATCTCTGCTTTCTCTTGAATATAATAGAAGTAAATGAAACTTTCCGGCTGGTGCTTTGCAGCAGTATGGCTTTCCAGAAATCATGATCCAGTTTCTTAAAAAAATAAAAAAATAAAAATCCATAGAGCTTATTGTTAGTGGTTTCGTGTTGGATCTATTTTCTTTATACTATCTACATCTGCCAACCAAACGAAACCCATAGCGCGCTAATCTCACAGCTCAGTTGAAAGAAGGATGGGGATTATTGTTTGCATCTACATGCTTGCTCCACGACCTAATTGCATCTCATATAGGCTCTATAAAAACACCCCATGAGTCCTAAAATACCTGTGGAAGCTGATGAAGGTAGTGTGGCAGAAAGGAGTTATTCCAAAGGCTTGGCGAAGAGCAGGAGGTATTCTGATCCCTAAGGAGAAGAACTCCTCATCCATCAGCCAATTTCGCCAGATCAGCCTGCTGAACGTAGAGGGAAAGATCTTCTTCAGTGTCTTTGCCCCAAAAATATCTACTTTCCTGCAAAGAAACAACTACATTGACACATCAGTGCAGAAGGCCGGCATCCAGGGCTTCTCGGGGTGCCTGGAGCATGCCAGCGTCATCTGGCACCAGATTCAAACTGCCAAGAAAGAACAAAGAGACCATCACGTGGTCTTTTTAGACCTTGCCAATGCCTTTGGGTCAGTTCTGGATGAGATCTTGTCGATGACCTTCAACTATTTCAGCATACCGAACCACATCACAGGACTGGTCAAGACCTACTTTCAGTTTTGTGTGACAGCTGAGAACACCACCACAGCCTGGCAGCACCTGGAAATTGGAGTCGATGGCAGGCTGCATTTTTTCCCCTCTGGCATTTATCATGGCAATGGAGCTGGTCATGCGGGCATCTCAGTGGGTAGTGGGAGGTGAGACACTCATGAGTGGCCTTTGTCTTCCTCCCATTAGAGCCTACATGGATGACATGACCATCATTACAACAACAAAACCATGTACTAGGCGATTGCTACAGAAGCTCCAGGGAAACAGCCGAGCAATTCTATATCAGTGGAGAACAAATTCCAACCATCCTAGAGAAGCCCATAAAGAGCCTGGGACGGTAGTATAACGCAGACCTCAATGATACGTGGCAACTAGAACAACTAAGGCAGAACTTGGCTAATGACCTCAAGCGGATTAACAACACTGCACTCCCAGGGAAACTGAAGCTCTGAACCCAGTTTGGGTTATTACCCAGACTACTGTGGCTTTTGACAATGTACGAGGTCTCACTCAATCATGCCAATTGACTAGAGAGGCTAGTGAGCTTCTACGTTAAGAAGTGGCTCGGACTTCCCAAATGCCTAAGCAGCGTTGGACTCTACGCGACGGGATACTGTCATTGCCTATGCCTAGTCTGATAGAGGAGTTAAAATGTGCAAAAGTGAGGCTTATGATGTCACTCACGGACTCCCGGGACCCAATAGTGAGAAGCACTGCTCCCACTAGCGAAGGGGAGGAAGTGGACCCCAGCCACATCTGTGCTACAGGCCAAATCTGCTCTTCAGCATCGTGACGTGGAGGGTCATGTCCAACAGGGCAGAGGAGGATTTGGACTTAGAGCAGTAACACCTCGGTGGCAACAGGCATCTGTAACCGAACATCAAAAAATGGTGGTGGAAGAGGTGCGCCGACAGGAGGAAACAGCCAGACATGCCACAGCCGTAGCGCTGGCCAAGCAGGGTCGCTGGATGAATTGGTAGAGTGTGGAAAAGAGGAAACTCTCATGGAGTGAATTCTGGGGAATGGAGTCTAATAGACTAAGTTTCATCATCCGATATGATGTGTTACCTTCCCCAATAAATCTGCAGCTGTGGTTTGGAAAGGACCCATCCTGACCCCTGTGTACAGTCCCAGCCACACTGAAGTACATCTTGGTTGGTTCTAGGACTAGCCTTACTCAGGGCAGACACATGGAGACACAACCAGGTCCTCAGGTGTCTAGCCGAGAAAGTTGAGTGCAAAAGAAAATCCATCAACGCTCAACCTTTAACGAACCAAGAGGAGTGTCAGCTGTCATCAACATTTGTCCGGGAGCCAAGTCGAGGACAAGCCCCTCAACCCCGGACCTGGGCCCACTAAAGGTTGCCACGGATTGGCAGATGCAAGTGGACTTGGATCAGAGGCTAATTTTTCCCACAGAGATCGTAACAACTACTCTGCGACCAGACCTCGTCCTTTGGTCTAACTCCCAAAAACTTGCGTACGTCATTGAGCTGACGGTACCATGGGAGGAAGCAATTGAGGAAGCATTTGAGCGTAAGAAGCTGCAGTATGCCAACTTGAGGCAGAGGACAGAGGCTGGAAGATCAAGATGCGTCAGTGGAAGTGGGGTGCAGGGGCTTTGTTGCCAGTACAACAGCAAAACTACTTAGAGAGATTGGGATCAGAGGACAGGCGCAACAGCAGGTTATAAGAGAACTAGCTAACACTGCTGAGAGGACCAGTCACTGGCTATGGTTAAAAAGAGCTGACATCACTTGGGCAGCTAAGGCAGTCAGCTAACCGCGAGAGAAAATAAAATATTCCGCTCTTCTCCCCTCTGCTCTTCTTCCCTTTTCTGGGAGGCAGTGGGGAGGTAGAGCGTACAGGCGGGAAGGTGCGGGAAGCCAGATCGGGCGCCCCCCTTCCGGCTCTCCTCTCTGCTCTCTCCTATCTTGTCCCTTTTGTCTTACTTCTCTCTATCACCTTTTCTATCCCTTTGAAGAAGTTAGGCTCCATAAATAATACTTACCTAAAGAGGTAAGTATTATTTCTCAGTTGCAGTGAATAGATAGGAGAAAATAAACTGTAGAAAACTAAACAGAAGAAAGAAGAAGAGAAATAACAATTTAACATAAACCAGTGACACACTCCGGGGCCTGATCAACCCTGGCAGGGCCTCCTTGGATGAGGGTGTCTAGTGATAATGGCTGAAACACCCGATGAATCCAAGGTCCACTACTGATGATGTGTCCCAAATCTTAATATGATAATCTAGATCAAATCTCTAATCCCAAAAAATGGCAGATTAGCTTGGGTAAAAGACTGAAAGTTGAGGCACACAACGATGTGTGCTGCTGGTAAAGTTTCTGGGCTGCCTTTCCTCATAACAGCCATCCCTCAAGATTCTCGCCATTTAAAGCAATGCATTATCAGGGACTACAACATCTAGTCCTTTTACTGAATTATTATAGCCAGTGTCTCCAGGGAGGAACTTTGATATCAGTTCAAAGTTATATAAAATGATTCTGTATTTAAAGAATTAAAACAACAATAGCAACAAAGAATTATCTTCTCACAGGTTTTGACCTCCTGGATTTCTCAGACCAGATTTCTCTGCTATCCATCTCTTCATTGGACGTCATGTTCCTGCTCTCTGCCCAGCAGTTTTCCCACAACCCAACAAGCCCCAGTCCAGGTGAAAAAACACCAGGAGAGAGGAAGATGATGAGACACAAGTAGATAACTGTATGAAATAACCATTCTTTCTTTTTTTCTCTCCATTAATCAGCACTGCAGCTTTTCAGTATGTCAACACACAGCTTTCTCAGAGACGTAGAATCAAAGGAAAACATCCACAGCAGGGGACTCATTGGTTCAGGTGGGTGCGCGCACACACACACACACACACACACACACACACACACACACACACACACACACACACACACACACACACACACTCCTTAGTCTGACAAGCTGTGGAAAAATTGCTCAGACAATGAATGAATTAGATGTTTTTTTTCCACATTTGCTGGCGTGAACAGAGAGCAGTGAGGATCTCTTTGCACCAGTGCTCAACTTCTTCCACAGCATGGTTGCGCTGCGGGTGACGGAGGCTGAGTACACCTTACTTACAGCCACAGCGCTGCTCTGCTCAGGTCAGACCAGGAATAAAATCAGCTGTCAAGTTAAGAATTGGCAAAGCAAAGCTTCTGGGATGCTGTTGTAAAGCTGTCTCTGTCTTTCTGTCCCTGTCTGCAGACCGCGCATCCCTGCAGGCAGCCAGCTGTGTTGAGAAAATGCAGGAACTGATCCTGGACCTGCTGTCCAGGTTGTGCGGGGCCCAAGCTGGAGCAGCGCGAGGAGGAGCTCAGAGGTTTGGCCGCCTGCTGGGCAGACTGACGGAGCTGCGAACCCTCCGCCACAACTACCTCCTCCTGACAAGACAGCAGTCTGGACACTGACAGTGAAGATGTGCAAGAAATTCTGAAAATCTTCAGTCTTTTATGTCTTCACTTCAATTCAAAGACTTATTTGTACAAACACTGTCTTAGAATGGTTCTAATTGGGTATAAATGGGACAGTGTAGGAGACAGTTACTCAGCTGTCTTTGTTTTCTCCCCAGTCCTGAGTCATTTAGGAATTTTAGCCTCTATAACAGGACTGAGATGCACTTGTGAGCTGCTGCAGTTTGTTTCATCAAAGAAACTTTTATAGGTGTTTTTTTATATTTGTATACATTTAACATTCACACTTACAGTACTTTTCACTTTGCTGAACAATGTTAAAATAAAGCATAAAAGGAAAGCTGTAATGATAATGCAGTTGTAATGAACGTACACTCACTGGTCACTTTATTAGGCACACATTACTAGTACTAGGCTGCAACTTTCAGAACGGCCTTAATTTCTTGTATCAAAGATTTAGGAAGGTGCTGGAAACATTCCTCAGAGATTTCTTGTCTGTATTAACATGATAAGCAGCATACATGTAGATTTCTTATCTATACATCCATGATGTGAATCTTCTGTTCCACCACATCCCAAAGGTGCCTTATTGGACTGAGATCTGGTGACTCTGGAGATTATTCGAGTACAGTGACCTCACTGTCATGTTGAGGAGAAAGGATGGATCCATGCTTTTGTGGTGTTTACACCAAATCAGAAGGGGTGCTTTTCAGGTCTTTTCTTAATTTTGGTGAGCCTGTGTAAATGGTAAATAAAATGGTCTGTATTTGTATAGCGCTTTACTTGGCCCTAAGGACCCCAAAGTGCTTTACACTATACACAATCATCCACCCATTCACACACACATCCACACACTGGTGATGGCAAGCTACAGTGTAGCCACAGCCGCCCTGGGGCGCACTGACAGAGGCGAGGCTGCCGGACACTGGCGCCACCGGGCGAGAACTGTAGCCGCTGTTTTCTGTACTTAACTGACACAAGTGGGACCAAGTATGGTCTTCTACTGCTGTACGGCTTCAAAGTTTGGCGTGTTGTGTGTTCAGAGATGCTCTTTTGCATATCAGGTCACTAGAAGTGGTTATCTGAGTAACTGCTGCCTTCTAATCAGCACGAAGCAATCTGACCCTTCTCCTCTGATTTATAGTTCTTTTGCAGAGAACTAGAGGATTTCTTTTTTTTGGAGGGCCATTCTTTGTAAACCCTAGAGATGGTTGAACTTCAGCAGGCTGCCATGTGATTGGTCAATGAGATAGTGTCAATAACAAGCAGTTGAACAGGTGTACATAACAATGAATGCTTTATCGATCAGTATTAAATAAGAAGAACACAAAACTCCAGGTAAGTATCCCAAAAGCTTTTTTCTTTTTTTAATATAGAATTTATTTCCCCAAATAAGGAAATACTGGTTACAGACAAAATATTTGGTGAGCAGGTAAAATATGCAGGTAGTACAAGCTTATGAAGGTGTATTTGTCCATTTGATAAAATAGGGAACTCTGTAATAAATAGAATCCTCTGGGAGGTGGGGACAGCAAATGTTGGTCTAAAGTAAAATCCTGAAACTAAACATGTGATGTCATCCATTTAAAAATGTTGGCTGCATGGTTTTAAATCCTCACGCCATTAAATAAGATTTTTGTCAACTTTAACCAATATAGCTTTATTTCTATAGTTCTGTCTTCCATAAATAAATTATTTCTCTCTGTATCAAAAAGAGAATACAAGTATAAAGAACAACGGCTCATTGTGTTGTATGCCCAGAACGTACGCACACATACACGCACACAACACAGTTGAAATTACATCAAAGACAAGCTAAATAAACTGCAGCAAGTCAGGAATTATTAAATCTCCACAAATATACACAGCCTGGCTTTGTCCCTTGTGGGTTGATTGAAATACGCATTTTAAAACGGCAACATTAAATTAAATTCAGTTTGATAATACACTTACATATGTACACAAAGTGTGCCTTTATAATATACAATTGTCTCTGTAAAAGATTTAAATGTAAAAAGCTATTGTATAAAAGATGGCAGTGATGCATTCATTAGTCTTCTGCAGCTCATATAAATATATCAAATCTCTTCTGACTACTTGATTCCTTGGCAGCAGTAGCATTATACAAAATAGACGGGAATTCTTTTACATCAGCACATCCAGGAGGAGTAAGCAACACCTCAATACAACCCTGAATGGGGAATTTACTGCAGCAACACGGGACCTAAAGGTAACTTCATTCACGTCAGGAGTTCCACCTCCTCAACAATGACACAGAGGCAAACACCAGTCCTCTGTGTGTCAGACACTAGTGGTTTGGTAATAAACTACAGTCCAGGACTCGGTGCCACGGCAACCTCTTTTCGGACCACAGTGTGAATATGAATTCGACCGGCAACAGGAACAGCTCCACCTGCTGCTTTAAGACCAAAGAGAAAATGCATATCGGCCAACTGTGGGTGTACACAGTGCTCACAGAGGCCCCCTACAGGTACCCGGAAGCCACAAAGCCGTGACTGTGGCTCACCCGGCTCTGGTGAATCATGGCGCGGTCGTATGCCACTTGGACAGATTTGCGGATGCTGGACTTGCGACCTTCCATAATGCGTAGCTTGTCAGCTGTGTCATCTACGCCCAAGGGTGTCACCTTGTCACGCGGAAGCCACTGCCTACAACACCCATGACAGAGGTTAGGATTATTATTACAGCCTTTTATCAAGAGTGATAAAATCTTAAATCTTAATCTTAAAAATAAAATTCAAATCTAAAGAATTATCTACAAACAATTTTCAAATTATTTGTAAAGACAAACAAACTTTCCACCATTTGTCTTTTCATCACATGATACACCTGTGGAAAATGTATCAGGTTTCACTAACCAAACACTTCTGACCTCCATGTGATAAATGGAGCATTGCATAACAGCAATGTTTATGTTAAACTCACCATGTCCGCTTGTTGTCAAAAAAAAGCACCAGGTAAAGTTTCTCATTCATCTCCTCCTGCCGCTGCTCCCCCAGACACAGGACATCTTTGGGTGGGACGGGGATCGGCACCCCATTGTGCAGCAGGCCCTCCTCAGGCATCTCGGGGTCGATGATCTGAAACAAACACAGCCCAACAGGGAATTTAAGCTACACCCTGAGCTGAACGCTCATATTAAATAGTGATATTAAGTCAGATCAGCAATTACCAGAGCAGGATATGAGGGATATCCCCGACACTTGGCCCAAACCAGGTCCAGTGGTTCCAGCTCCATCTCATCCTCTGATGTTTGACTACTATTGCCTGTCAAACAACAGTGACACTCAAATTAGTTCAGCGACTAAATAAATAATCAGGACATAAATGCAACTTAGCTTCAAGAGAACTTGGGATACAGGAGGGAAAAAAGTACCGGTGTAATCCGAGTCTCCGTTGATGATCTCCAGAAAGGGGACTTTAGAAAGAGCCGGTTTCCCAAGGCTGCGTTTGGGTGGTGAGTTGCTGTAATACAATACATTATATTGTAATTTTATTATCAGTTGTTAGCAAAACAAACCACAAAGAACACCAGACACACAATGTCTTACATTTCTTTGTGGAGAACTGGGCAAGACCTAAACTCCAAGTCGGATCTGCTATCTTTGTGCGTGTTAAAGCCGTTGGTCAATCCTGAAAGTAAGAGCGAGAGCAATCAGAACAGCAGCAGATAAGAGCCAAAGGAGCAGGAGGGGAAGTCAGAAAAGATGACATATAAGGAGCACTTATGTCTGCTCTTGTCTCAGTTATATTGAAATCCATTAGACAATACAGGGCTAACTGTCTGATCAATCAGGTAGACCTAGGAAAAAAAAACATATTCCTATGCTGTGATCAGTGCATTAGTAGCTAATAACAAATGTACAGTCAGCCCAATCCAGAAAATGTGATCCCTTCCAAGCGAGTCTTTAGGTGTCACTTCTCCTCTCTGAGCAGAACACTTTAAACTTAACGTCAGTAATCAAGCAAAGTTTCTCACCACTTTCCAGCGTGTGATTTGGTGTCTTCTCTGGCTCACTATCTGAACACATGTCTCGACTGGAGGTCCATAGTTCATTAAGGTTGGGGGGTCCTGGGCTCTTCTGTGGGGTTCTGCTTGGAGTGGTCAAAGGTGTGGAAGATGGGGTGCTGGCTATGGAATTGAGTGCTGAAGAGTTGTTACTTGTATTCTCGTCTTGTGGTCCATTCCCATTCAGCACAGGATTGTCTCGCACTTTGAACAACTTAGCTCCATTTTTTGCCTTCTTAAACAGCACGGAGGTCCGTCGCCCGACTCCCCCCGTCGGGGGCCGTGAGGTGATGCCTAGCTCTGCCAGACCGTTGGTCACTGTCTGTCCTTCACTGTGCAAACTGGGACGTGGCAAAGTTGACCGCTCTTGTGCGCTAATGCAATGAATGTTCTCTGTGGTGCCGTTTGAGAGGTCACCGTCCATCTTAAGGCGTTTGCAGGAGTAGCTGGGGGACTGGGGCTCCCCTGTGATTGGCCGCAGAGTGGGAGGCTCAAGAGGTGTGTCCCCCTGACGTGGAGGAGGAGCCGGCCCTGTAGGTTCCAGTGTCGGGGGCGAAGCGGGTTTGAGGTCCTCTGAAAGGAGAGGAAACGAATGATATTCCAATTCACTCAGCATTGGTTTTAAATGAATCTCCATTTAGTATGTAGTGTGATGCGGTGGTGCAGTATTCACACAGGAAAATGGTGTCACTCTGTAATGATTTACACTTCATTCCAACACTCTAACCACAGTCCAGAGGGAATTGACAGATTCTCTAGATATGGAGGACCTTATCAAGACAAGTGAAAAAGTACTTTGCTCTCACAACTGTACACCATCAACATGGTAACATGGTAGTATCTTTCGTTCTTTACTCAAATAGCAGGAGTTCTCCTGCCATCTTCTATGGTGACACAAGACTGTTTGACTAGACTAGCCTTTAGTCAAAAGTGGGATGATATGGCATGACTGCATGTGGCCATGGAGAGTGGTGAGTCCATGAGAGTGATGTATAGAAGAGGTGCAGACATAGAGTTCACTGGGAGAGAGGATTTGTGAGGCAACCATGGCTAACGAGACTCTGTGGGCCCCTACTTACTAGACTGGAGACAGTGGGGTGGTTGGGGTTGGTGCGTGGGGGGGACCCTGGCTCAATTACCTGAGGACAATGTTCCGTTAGCTCATGTTCACAACTGGTCTCATTGAAAAAAAGTGGCTTTTTAAAGGTTCATGAATTGGCAATTTAATATTGCTGTAAGTCTCTCTCAGTGCCCACCTTTGTCTGAAGATGTGAGGCCGTTATCTGCCTTGGCGTCTTTGTCGTTGTCCTCCTCATCTTGCTCATCATCATCCTCTTCTTTGAGATGTCCATTGTGTAGGATGTGGCGGTGGGACTGGCCCTGCCTGCCCGTCCTGATGCTGTTGATTTCGCGACGAAGCAGGCGGATTCGTCGAGTTCGAGCACCGCTGCATCGCATCGATGTGACAAAGTCCAGCTTTTCCAGCAGCTCCTTCAGTTGTTCTTCCACTGTCATATGCAGCCGGTTCTCTGGATCCAACACGCTGTCAACTGAACACAGCAGGGAGTTTGGTTAGCGCCCAAACAGACACTTAGGTACAACATGATAATAATACTTCAATGCTGACATTTCACAAAGATGACCAGCCAGGCTTGTTTTCTCAGAGATCTCAAAGGTTAAAAATTTCCCCTCTTTGCAGTGCTATTTCTATTTTATTCTGAATAATTATATAGCATGGACAC